TGGCCAGGACAGTCCCATTTTAAGCTCCGCCCTGGCCGTCCTGACTTTGTTGACAAAAGTAGGCACTTGTCCCGTTTGCTCTTGCCAAGAGTAAAGGGGACAATGCCCACTTTTGTCAAAGAAGTGGGGTGCGGAGGAACATGGGAGGGGGTGGTGACGGTGATGCCAGCTCCGCGCAGAGGCAGGGCTCAGGTGGGGGGAGGGCAGGGCACGAGTGAGCAGCAATGCCAGCTCCAGCCTCATGCGGGGGGCAGGGAAGGCTCAGGCGAGTGGCTCAGGCCAGCCCTCTGTGGGGGCGGAGCGGGCTCGGACCCAAGTGGGGAAGGGGGGGCTCAGGCGAGTGGCTCAGGCCAGCCCTCTGCAGGGGAGGGGAGAGGCGGAGCAGGCTCGGACCCACGTGGGGGAGGGGATGGGGGGGCTCAGGCGAGTGGCTCAGGCCAGCCCTCTGCAGGGGTAGGGGGAGAGGAGGACTCAGACCCATGCCGGGGAGGGGAGGCTCAGGGTAACCCCATGCAGTGTCCCATTTTACCTCTGGGAAATATGCTTAGCCTATGTTTAGGAATATTTGATTTCTGCAGGAAGCGACACTGGCCATTGAGCGAGGGGTGCTCCTCTTGCCGAGTCAGTCCCAGACAAATGCCCAAGCCTGGTTTTAGGGGGTGCTATTTTTCTGCCGACAGGTTAAACCTGAGATCCTTTTGCAAGAGTCAGGGCATGAGCCCCAAAGTCCGGACCACACTGTCACTCCAGTCATTACATTCTGCCCCCCAGAATTCCACCTGCCCTTTCAGTTAGATGCGCCATCGCTTCCCTTCCCGTTCTGAACAGCGGTGTAGCGCTGCTGTGCTCAAACGATGTACCCCAGAGCTGGTTTTATTTCAATGGTGGGGGAAGCAATTCCGTACATCCCCTGCCTACCACGCAGGAATGCTGGTGGCTTAATCCTCACCTGAGGCGCTTCAGACTCCTCTGAGCAATATTAAGCACGTCAAACACAGCAGGGAACAGCTACGGAAGATCATTACTGACCCCACATGGCTCTGGCCTAACGTGAAGAGTTTTTCATTTACAGAACAGCTGTACGGTACATGTCATCATCCTCACTTTCCCAAATGCTTGTCTCGGAAGAGGATCAGCCGCCTGAAGCAAGCGCACCCTCTTCTGGGCTCTTTGGAGAACGGCCACTTCCACAGCAATTAGTTTTCAAAATACAGCCCCCGCTCCATGATGCTAAATAACTCAGACTGCAGCATAATGAGGAGGAGGAAAGCCAGGAGAGTGAGCTAAGAGGCTACCATTTGGCACTGATTGAACTGAAGAGAGGCCCAGCACCTCTACGGGGAAACTCTACAGAGCCCCACAGGGATCAGACTTGGCTCTCTCTCTCTCAACAACATCTACCCTTGTCTTGGGTTTAACAGCAGGCGGACATTTTTCAACCGAGACAGATTTTCATACAAAAATGGACTTTTTCCAATATTTTGGCTAAACGCTGACAACTTTTTTAGGGGTTTTCCTCCCTCCTGCCCACAAAACATCACGTCACCCGATGAAATGAACAGGAAACAAGTTTAAAGTACTCCTTCACACAAAAAGCACAGTCAACCTGTGGAACTCATTGCCAGGGGCGTCCATTAAGGGCTATTAGCCAAGATGGTCCGGGTGCAACCCCTGGCTCCGAGTTTCCCTAAACCGCTGAGTGCCAGAAACTGGGATGACAGGGGATGGCTCACTCGATAAATTTCCCTGTTCTGTTCGTTCCCTCTGAAGCATCTGGCACTGGCCACTGTGAGAAGACAGGATCCTGGGCTAGATGCACCATTGGTCTGACCCAGCATGACCATTCTTATAAAGCTCAGGGCGGGGGTTCTCAAACTGTGGATCACGACCCCGTTTTAATGGAGTCGCCCTGGCTGGTGTTAGACTTGCTGGGGCCAAAGCCGACGCCCGAGCTCCACCGCCCAGGCTCAAAGCTGAAGCCCAAGGGCTAAATCCCTGGGCAGCGAGACTCAGGCTTCGGCTTCAGCCTTGGGCAGCGGGGCTCAGGTTACAGGCCCCCTGCCTGGGGTGACAGGGCTCAGGCTTTGGTCCCGTCCCCCCGCCACTCTGGGGTCGTGTAGTAATTTTAGTTGTCAGAAGGGAATTGCAGTGCAATGACGTTTGAGAACTGCTGGCATGGGGAAAGGATCTGGGCAATAACCCCCGCTGCAGAAACAGCTAGCGGCCACTCACCCCTGCGCAGCCCCTCCAGGGCAGGGGTAAGGCTCAGGCGCGCTAAGGAATTACCTTCACATCCTGGCTCCCAAGCGGGTCCGTGAGCTGCTCCTCCAATGCCCGAAGCGATTCCCGCGCCAGCACGAGAAGGCGCTGCAGGATCTGAGGAGGGGCAGAGAGTTGGAGGGTAGAACCAAGGAGGACCCCAGACATCACACAGCCCCCGCATTGCGATAGGGACACCTCGCTAGCTGCAGGGGCAGGTACCCGGCTCCAATGGGGGCAGGGAAGACACTGTCCTCAGCCGGACAACAGTGCTACAGTGAGGGCCATGAGGAAGGGAGGGACAAGGGCCCAGGTGCTGGGAGCATTGCTCAGGTGCAGGGGGTAAACAGAGCCTGCACAATACCTGGCCCCTGGGTAGTGGCAGCTCTGCAGCAGGCCCAGCAAAGAGGCGCATCTGGAATAACCCTGACAGAGAAAGGGGATGGGAATCTGAGCACTCCAGTGCAAGGAGAGCAGAAGTTACCCTGGGCTGGTTGCAGGCAGACACCCCAGCGTAGCAGGAATGGGTGGGCAGGATGATGCCTGGCTCACCTGTGCAGAAGGCCGCTCTTTGGTCCACACTGAGCTCCGCTTGTCTCTGGGGGTGGCGATGAACATGACGGGGAGGTGAGGCCGGGCAGCCACAAACTCGTTCCTGATCTCGGTGTAATCTGCATCTGGGGAACACACCCAAAAGCAACATCCGAAACCCTGTCCATCAGCCCTGCCTGGGTGCCTGCCACATCCCTCTTCGCCCTCAGCAGCCCTGCCCAGCACACGCAGCATGGGAACCCACCACTCTGCGCTCTCACCATAGGAACACAGGACTGGCGTGGACCTCCAAGGTCACAGAATCCAGTCTAGTGCTATCATGGGCCACCCAGTTTCACCTTCCCCTGGATAAACTTACCAAGCTTCATTTTAAATCTAGGTTCCAGAACCTCCCTCCTCTGTCCGTTAGGAACCTTCTTCTCATTTCCAGCCTAAATTTACTCAAAGCCAGTTTATCCCCCTTTGCGATTGGGCCAACATTGTCCTTTGGCTGACACAGCTCTCCCCCCACCCTGGAGTTTTCCCTCCCTGATGTATTTACAGGGGGCAATCGGATCCCTCTCGGCCTTAGTTTTGCTGAGCTAAATAAGCCAAGCTCCTTCAGCCTCCTCTCGTAAGACAGGCCCTTCATCTTTCTTGAACATGGGTGCTCAGAACCGGTCACCAAACACAAGGCTGAGCAGGGAACTGTCTAGGACTTGGGCGGCAGCCCTCGTCTGCATTTTCTGACACTCTGAAGTTGTTCAAAGCCAACAGCTGAAGGGGGGGGAAGCAGAGTGAGGAGATTGTGGTGATGTATAGAGCAGCACCAATTAAATATAAAGCCCACAGACCAATCCAGGCCAAGATGCTTCCACTGACATGACCCCAGGGTCACTCGCAGCCCATCTGAGGTCAGAGATATTCACAGCATTATCGCACACTAGCGCTGAAATCTCCGGTACCACTGACCCCACAGTCAGTGTCTGATGCCAGCTGAAATAGCTTAAGAAATATAACAGCCAGCCAGCACTCTGTGCCGATGCCTGGGGGTGCCACTGGCTCCCCCTCTCTGCATCCAAAGACTCTGCTCAGCAAAAGGACCTGGTGACAAACCTGCCCCTCCTGGGCTCACCAGACTTTGCATAAGAAGTTTCAACCCAACACACATTAAAACAACCTCGTAACAAGCCCCACAGCCGACGTTAAACTCTGAAATGTCGAGAGTCTTTCAACTACTGCAGAATTGCTACCTAGGCACAGAGGCTTGGGAGTAGGGGAGATCCCCTGTGCTCCCATCAAGTGCGTCAACGCTGAAAGGGAAGTCTGCGACTGGAGCACGAGTAGGAATGTCTGCGCTAGCTCAAAGTTAGCCAGTTCACATAACAGTAGCGTAGATGTGATGGCAGGAATTCAGCACAGGCTAGCAACCAGAGTAAGGTCCTGGGCAGGCTTGTACTCCGACAGCCGGCCCATGAAGCCATGTCCACGCTACTACTGTTACCCAGGCTAGCTAGACTAAAGCTTGTGCAGGTATGCCTCTTTGCACTACAATCGCACCTGCCATGCGGACATATGCTCAGGGCTCCTGTGACCACGCACGGTCCTACTTCGGGGGTGCACAAGATCTTCAGGAAGTTTCTTCTTCACAAGCCCAGCCCACAGGTCCCTCTCTTGGGCAGGCATAATACAGAGCCTAAGAATGGCCAAACGGGTCAGACCAATGGTCCATCTACCCCAGTATCCTGACAGAGGCCAATGCCAGATGCTTCAGAGGGAATGAACAGAACCAAGCAATTTCAAGAGATCCATCCCCTGTCGTCCAGTCTCAGCTTCTGGCGTTTGGAGGTTTAGGGACACCCAGAGCATGGGGCTGCGTCCCTGACCATCTTGGCTAATAGCCATTGACGAGCCTATCCTCACGAACTTATCTAATTCTCTTTCGAACCAAGTTTTATTTTAGGCCTTCACAACATCCCCTGACAATGATTCCCAAAGGTTGCCTGTGTGTTGTGAGAAGTATTTTTTTGTTTATTTAAAATCAGATTTTTTTGAGAAAATGCTTTTTGAGGAAAAAGCCAATCTAAAGATAAGATACATCTTGGAACTATAATGTCTCACCATAGAATAAGGATTATAAATTCTATAGTACGAGACAATATATTCATGTCATGTTTAAGAAAAGTTTTGTAAATGAGTTCCAATAGTTCATGGATTAGGGACCCAATCTTATGGGGTTCCACAGGCTTCTGTACTGATTTCCATGCTGTATTTTGCGGAGGTTTCATCCACTCGTTTCACAAGGTTGGCAAGTTCATCTTCGCTGCCTGCCAGGCCGTAAATGTCATCAGCAAACCGAAGATTTGAGATTGTTCGCCCCCCAGTGCTGACTGTGCATCTGTGATCTTCCAGGGCATCGGTCACTATGCACTCCAAGTAGATGTTGAACAGCGTGGGCGAAAGAAGACACCCTTGCCAGACTCCAACAATTGTTCAAAACCATTCTCCTATTGTGCCATTGACAAGAACTGCACTGCTGACCTTGGCATACGGTTGTTTAATGGTAAGAATAAGCTTACAACCAACATTTTACTTCTTCGTGGTTGCCCAGAAAGCTTCGTGCCATACTCTGTCAAACTCCTTCTTGAAGTCAACAAAGACGTGGTAGATGTCCTGCTGATGTTGTACGTACTTCTCACATAGAACACGAAGACTGAAAATCTGTTCTGTGGTACTTCCAGCACGAAAGCCAGCCTGTTCTTCAGCGATTATTCTCCATTTGCAGCTTCAATCTCTTCAATAGGACTTTCAACATCACTTTGCTGGGATCGTAAAATCACAGAATATTAGGGTTGGAAGAGACCTCAGGAGGTCATTGAGTCCAAACCCCTGTTCAAAGCAGGACCAAAACCAACTAAATTATCCCAGCCAGAGCTTTGTCAAGCCGGGTCTTAAAAATCTCTAAGGATGAAGATTCCACCACTTCCCTAGGTAACCCATTCCAAAAAAAAAGAAAGTATTTTTGGCTAATCAAGCTTATGGTCCAGTAATTTTGACACAATTGCAGGTTGCCTTTCTTTGGCAGAGTGATGATTAGTGCCTGTGTCCACATGGAGGGCCACTCACCGGTCTGCCAAATCTTGTTGAGTATATCTATTACTATTTCTCCTCCGAATTCCATCAGTTCGGCTGGGATGTTGTCAATACCTTTTGCCTTTCCGTTCTTGAGCGATTTCACTGCTCACTCCATTTCTTCACGGAGTATTGGAAAGTCATCCTCC